ACAAAGGACTCCCAACACAAAGAGCAAATTTACACAGTAAAGTTTTCTTGCAAGCCCAGAGCAGAGTCTGGAAGAATTCCAGCTTTATAAAGAGAAAAAAGGGTGGGGGGAAGAAAGGGGGAAGGGAGAGGGGGCATTTTACAGAGGATAAAAGGAAATTGAGAAAAGTTCCCACCTCCTGAAGCTCAGCACTGAATATTCTCTGCCAGTTAACCCCAATGTATTACAAACCCTTCAGGATGTTTCACCAGGACATAAGCCCTCATAACACCAAAGTTTTCAGCCTCCTTCAAGAAGGAGGCTGAAATTAATGCTTCAACTTTAAACATCGATTGCCAATTCAACTGCTTGTTTCTCTGCAGATTAGTAACATTTGATGCCAAAGGACACAACAACTGCTAACCAGGGCTTCCAGTTTTTCCCTTGTGCCAGTTTTACAGGTGGTGACACACACAAGATAAAGCTGGAAATAATAAAGCTGAGTGTTGCCTACAGGCTTTGTGGTGAGCACTCGTCCGAGGTGAAGCGAGAATGGGAAGGGGTCCACGTTCCCACATCCCGTGCCGTGCCGAGCACCAAGCACCATCCTCTAGCCAGGGGCAGCCGGGGGGGCCACAGGGGCTGCCCAGCAGGGCCCTGGCAGCGCACCACCACTGTCCATGGGTGCTAGAAGGTGGTGGTGCAAATACAACAGAGGCTGTACAGATGGAGGGATCTTTTCCCCTTCCATCAGGCTGAATGTTATCCCCACTTGACAGCTAGGGATAAAGGCTTGGGGTTTTTGGGTGTTTTTGCACATTTGTTTTCTGTTTTTAAAATAAAAGGTTAATGCATCCCCACTGCTTTCTCAGTGTTGTTCTAGTCAGAGCTCTGGGAATTAGAGAAGAGGGAGCAATCCTGCACTAATTAACCAAAGACGACCTAAATGATTTTCTTCAGGTCCCATCACCTCCACTTTCTGCATTATCATTAATAAGCTCTGCAACATTTCAAAAAAAAGGAAAGCTGAGAATAGACATCACCTCTATCTCAACCTCTGCCCAGCAGGCACAGCATTACAGAGTTCAGCCGAGCAAAGAGTTTTCAAATGTTTTTACAAGAAAAATGTATGTGATGATATTGAACATAAAGCTAAAACTGGCTGTGGAGGCTACCAAACGTGGCCACCAAGCAGGAAAGCAACTGCCTCAGCTAGGCATTTTGGAGATATTTGGAAGTACGTGATTCATATTAAAAGCAAATCATAACTCCGTCTTCTAACATTTCTCAGCCGCAAGAATGTAATTCACAGAAATTTTAATTTCTGTGTTTATTTACTTCCATTTCCAGGGAAACCTGTGCCTTCTGCCATGCTCTCACAAAATCAGCGGTAGTCTCTAAGCAGTCAGCACAGACAGCAACCTGGGAAAAAGGCTTTAAATGACTCTGAGAGTGAAAAACAGAAACCCACAAACAACAAAGCCGTATGCATCTCTTCATCTTTGCCGTGTGCAGCTTCACACTGGATCAGACAAGTGTTTTCCTTCCAAAGCCTAGAATAGTTCAGACCTCAGGGCTCCTTGGGCTAATGACTTTTAACTCCTACTGGCAAAAAATAGTCACAAAGCAGTGCCGAGTTCTTTTGCCATATTTGCAGCAGCCTTCACAGAAAAGCACGTGCATCCTCCGTGCACAAGCTGAGCTGCACAAACTGCCACGCAGCCACTTGTTTTCCAGGCTGTTAGCACTGTCAGGTGATTGCAGAGGGGCTGGGCAGATCTCGGCACACTGGATCCAGCTGCGCTCTGGACAGATCCCTGACTGCTGAACATGCAATACATATTTATAGGGTCTCCTCCGTGACAAGAATTCCAAAGCCTCATGCAAAAAATAACTCAAAGGACATAATTAAGTCAGTTAAATGACTTGGGAAAAGAGACACACTACAGCCAGATTTCAGCTCTCAGCACAGACTCAGAGCACAGGGAGCAACGATTAGGAGAGCAAGAACTACAAAAGCTCTCCAACCAACCACTCGCTTTTCTGTAGTGCTTGCTTAACACTGACACAGACCAGAATCTCCTCTCTGAACACAGAGCACTGGGCACGAAGGCAAGTGATTTAGGTAAGCAAGCACGTGCCAGCATCCGCAGAGGTCACAACACTACTAGACGACACGTAAGGCCAGCACGAAGTAGGAAATCAGAGATCAATCAGCTGATGTTCATTCGTTTACTCGATGCACAATGAACAGCGAGCTCCTCCTGGCTTTCCAGTGCCAGGAAAAGACAGGAGAGGAACACTGTGGCCGCTGGAGGAGCAGCTCCAGCTGCTATCAGCAGAGGAGTCTTCGCATGCAAGCCGGTTTAGCTGAGAAACAGCCATCATGTGTACTTAGGGGCTGCATGAATCCAACTGTTATCAGAGCTTATGGCCTTTTTAGTGAAATAACCACATAAATAAAAGAAATGAGAGTGCATTAAACAAGCTGGGGAAGGGCGTGGGCTCAGCAGCCAGAAAGCTGCTGCACGGGGGCTTTTCCTAGCACCCAGTAGACGGGCAGAGCGGCACAGAGCCAGCGCAAGGCATGGCTGCAGGAGCATCCATCTCCTCCAGACAAGCTTCAGAGCCTCTGCTTACAAGAAGGGAAAGAGAAATGCTGCAAAAGAGAGAGGACATGCTGAGGTGAGCAGAACAGCCCAGAAAACCCCAAGACTGTGCTTGGGCAAAGTAGCTGAAACTGAAATTGCACTGGAATGTCCCAAATACCCAAACAGCTGAAAGTAGCATAATGATCTTAACTCTGAAGAGTCACCATCATGCAAGCATCTCTTTTAGAATGGGAGGACTGTGAAGAAGTCAAGGGCAATCAAGAGGAGTGAGGAACACCAGAAGCTCCCTGTGACCAAAACTATGCATCTGGCCCTGGGGGGAAACTGGGCTGCACAGGAAGAGCAGGAGAGCTCAATTCCTGGGGATCTCAGCTGTGAAGAAGGAATCATGCAGCCTCCAAGAACGTTGTTTCCTCTTTCTGGATCAAAAGGAAGCCCAAACTTAAAAATCACTAAGAACCAAAATGAAAAAAATAATTTCAATAAAAACTTACAAGTTATGGGCTTGAGATGGATGTTGGGGAAAAACCTACACACTGCTTACACAGCAAGGAGCAAAAAGCTGTGAAAACACAAGTTTTACTTCTCAGAAGGGTTGCACATAGAAACAAGTAAACAAGCTATTTATTTTTAAAGCTAGAGTCGCAATGTAGCTAACATATAATTAACAGATTTAGTATGGGAGAGCGTTTAAGAATGAAACAGCTTTTCACAGCCAAGGTTATCACATTTCTGTTACCTCTATACCTACCCAAAATAATGAGAAATAAGCTCACATCTTTAAAACAGATTATGTCTCTTCCGCAAATTGTTCAGTCCCTCCAAGAATATTAAAAGCATGAAGTGAAGCTTTCTCCCTCAACTGACTTGAAGTGGTTCTCAAAACAGTTTCTTTTATTTTTCCATTTGTGCTTTCAATGTTACAAAAGAATGCAGAGGGATTATGTGAATACAGTGTGTTGCTATTTTATTTATATTTTAATGAATTACCTATTAGTTACTAGATACCTAATTCAGCATAAAGAAATGTTGGTAAGATGCAAGAACATCACTAGCTGTGTGGGAGATGCATTGGTTCATCCTGTTACATTACACACCAAAATTTATGATTCTGCTCTTTCAGCTCTGCACAACTTTCTGAATCTCAACTTACGCTGAATGTGATAGCAAAACAAAAAAGAAAGAAAGAAAGAAAGAAAGAAAGGAAGAAAGAAAGAGAGAAAGAAAGAGAGAGAGAAAGAAGAGAGAGAAAAAGAGAGAGAGAAAGAGAGAGAGAGCGAGAGAAAAGAAAGAGAGAGAGAAAGAAAGAGAGAAAGAAAGAAAGAAAGAAAGAAAGAAAGAAAGAAAGAAGAAAGAAAGAAAGAAAGAAAGAAAGAAAGAAAGAAAGAAAGAAAGAAAGAAAGAAAGAAAGAAAGAAAGAAAGAAAGAAAATTCTTCTCTGTGTTTCCTCTGAGCGTGAAAGATATGGAAGGGTGTTTCTTTGGTTCAAAAACATGTTTGAGCACTGCCTGGGCTATTGTTTTTTTTGTTTGTTTGTTTGTTTTTTCCTTTGGAAAATACCATAGGACATTTCTCCTGAAGGATTCATTGGAAAGCTCGCAGCAATATGAAAGGATTAAAGAGTCTGAAGTTTGAATAACTGAGAGACGAAGGGATTTTTTTTTTAGAATCTTAGTAAGACCTCTAGCCTGTTTAATTTTAATTCATAGAATTTAACTCAAAATCTTGCCAGAAGATGTTCTGCGAAAGATTCAGTGTTCCACCTTACATGGACAGAATCAGTGATCCTCCAAATGCAGGGAAGAGCCTTGCCAAATTTCAGACTTGCTGTTGGTCCTGGTTAGGTTTGTATTTCTTCATCAAGAACCTTTACCACAGGTGAGGTAGCTCAGCAAACTTTGTGGAATTGCTGTAATTGCACACAGGGGAAGTGACTTCAGCTAAAAGGATGTTCCTGGTCAGACCAGTTAGGTCCAACCTTGCTACGCTCTGTGTCTGTCGGTCTGAACCAGAAACACGCAAGCTGAGAGGCAGGATTTGGCCAAGGGGCTGTTAACAAGAACTCCCTATTGCTCATGCTGTCATTGCACCAGAGAAGAAAAGGTGCACTTCACTGCATGCAAAAAGGAAATCTGCAAAGCCTAGGAATCCTCCTAGCCTAGTTACTAGGAAAGATTGTATCCCCACACGTGTTTTTTTAATAGTCAGGCTCTGGGTGGAAGCCGTATCAGTGAGAGAAGCCAATTGTTAGAGTGAGGATTTCGCCAGATCTCTAGTGAAATTTGTCCCAATTATCACGAGGCCCAAGGTTTACATATATGTGAATACCATCATTTCACTTCTTCATATCTTAAGGGAAAAAAAAGAGTTGCTGCAAAAATTAAAAAGTACAATATGAAATATACAATAGCCACCATTAACATCATATTTATTGTTATTTAGTTGCTCAGTAAAACATATACAGATATGTACAATATGCATGAATACAGAAGACTGCACTTTACATATTTAAAAAAAAAAGAAAAATAACACTCAATTTCATGAGCTATTGTCACAGTCTTCCAACCAAGCATTTAAGAAATGAATTTAACAAGAATCCAAAAAAAAAAAAAAAAAAAAGATTACAGGATTGCCTAACACACAGCAGAGTCAAGTTTTCATATTTTACATGTGCAATAACATTTTTCAGAAGAGTTTGCTATGCAGTACGGATTACCAGTGTTTTGATTTTTTTTTCCTTTCTATGAACCAAATTTAGAACAAAGAAATAACATCCTTTTGCTTAAGGCTGTTTTAAAGCTGTAATATTCTTGGGTAGTGAATAGTGATAAAGTTTTAACTGCCGGAAATCAGTGCCTGCAGTTTCATCAGTCAGAATCTATGAGCGGATGGACTCAAACCAACAATTTTAACAGAGAATTCTATGACAAAATTAGACTATTTTCTCCATTAGCCTTAAGCAATAAAGGAGAAACAATTTTATAAAAATGGCTTATGCTCTTATGCACCATCCATTGAACAGCTGTGAATCTAGTATTTGAGAAAACCTTACACTGCAGCTTAAAAAAATCAAAATTTACCAGTTAATTGTTGTTGGCTTTTGTTTTGTTTTATTTTTGTCTGCTTTTCCCCACCCACCACCCACCTCCTCCCTCCCTCCCAACAGTAGAGCAAGCACGCCCCGCTTAAGTATTTTGGTGACCTGTGGTCACATTACATTTTCCTTCTTTAAGAAATGTGTGAACATTTTGCCTTATCATTGGTTCCTGGAAGCTTTCAGACTGATTTCCTGTTTTGGAAAGGTCAGCTAGCCTTAGCATGACCACATCTAAATACAGTATCTGAAAAAGTTCCCTAAATGACACGGATGACATGACTTTGATGTTCATTCCCTTCCACCCAAATCACACACTGAAATCCTTACATACTTGATGAAATTCACCGTAACAAAATAAAAATGAGTCTAACTCCTCTCTCACTGATGCTCCTAACAACTGAACTAGAATAGCAGAGAACTATTAATCCCATGAAAAAATGGCCTGGAAAAATTTCTCAGGAGTATTTAATAAATAAGTCCTACTCTTCCCTCCCTCCCCTCCCCCCCCCCTTCTTTTCTTTTTGGCAAAGAGATATTTCAATTTAAATGCAAAAGATATTTTGCTCAATTTGCTACTATACTTTAACTTAAAGAATAAGTACAGAGTTTCTTTTAACGTATACCAAAAAGATCAGCAACCTGGGTCAGGAGGAAATTGAGCCTTCAACGCCAAGAACAAGAAGACAGGCAACTTCCAAGCTCCCAGTTAAACCAGCACCTACAGCACAGGGCTGTGTAAGAACCAAAAACGCTGGGCAAGATGGAGAGAATTTTCCAAAATAAATATGGAGACATTATTTTAGCTGCTGTTCAAAATATAAAGCCAGAAGTGTGCACGTCTTAGCAGTGTATTTACCACAGATCGTTGAGTTCTTAGTACAACACCCTCACTTCTGGAAGCCATGTATGATGTGCAGGTGCAAGTTTAAATTATTCTGTCTTTATGCAGTCAACTTGGGGAACTTGTAACTCATTATATGTCCCTCTTTATTGTACCAGGCCGTCCTCAGAAGCCTAGCACTGTGCAGAAGCACAGAACAGCTCAACGATGAGGGCTGCAAGCCAGGGGTCAAATGTAGATTATAGCTCAGCTCTGTCATGGATTTGCCTTTGACACAGCTCAGGTGGACAACATTTGTGCCTCAGTTTCCCTCTCCACAAAAGAGCACAACTTACCTCTTGCACAACACGTTTTTAACTACAGCTTTCAAACACTCTTTGGCTGAAAGTGTCATTACTCCCAAAATTAAATCATTTCAATTTTTACCTTGTAGGGCTATGCTGATATTTTATATATGTTAAAAATAAAATAAGATTTAAAAAAACAGTGCATTCAGTGTCAAATTAATGGAGAAAATGAGAGCAGTAAAATTACCACAGGCAATACAAGCTTTGTGAGAAAGCTCTAGCCTTCTGTGTATGTTGTCAGTACCAAATACACCAGGTTATGAGCATGAAGTTACACTTGTACTCGTCCGTCATATGTACCGTGTCTGTTCTGATCTTTGGCAAGACGCAAAGAAACCATAAAAGCACACACTGGTACTTGTGTTGCCAACAGCTCCTCCAAGCAGAGCTTCTGTCTTCTCCTTTTGCTCAGTTGGTAACGTCACTTGAATTCAGCAAGCATGAATGTACAGGTTAGCGAGAGGACTGCACATAGCCATATTATTTAGCAAAACTGTATGGACAATAAGGCCCAGAAGAAGGTCAACCATTGTTTCTAACTCCTCACTATCAGCCCCAACAGTCCCAGCGATGTGGGAGCACTCTCAGCTGATGCTGAGAGCTACAGCCCCGTGCACTTCCCAAGCGTGCAGCTGACCAACTGACATTAAGCCCCCTGGTTTCAGTACACCCCATCCTATCATTTCATATGATTTAAAATACTTAGAATTCCATTGTTCTTTATGGAATTGTTTCCAATTTATACTCCTATAAGCAAGTGGGAAAATAAAGCCCTAGTGAATGAGAGCAACTCCAGAACAGAAGTACAAGCTGCAGAGAGCAAACCCGAAGAAAAGGATGTATAAAGACCAACTGAATCAATGTATTTCTACTTACAGAAGGATTTTCTTTAAAAAAAGTTTGCAGTGTTTGATCCAGCATTCATTTAAAGGTCTCCTTCTGGTAGCACAGGGCGTGCATCCCTGACCTGAGGAAGCTTGAAAAACCTGTTCTCTTGAATGCAGCAGGAAAAAACAAAGAAGTAAGCCATCAGGCCTGAGCTATGGTAGAGGAATGCCATCAGACCATGAACTCTTCCTAAATTTTCAGCTGTAAGTGCTGAAAGACAGTATCGTATGTCTAGGCATGTGTTTTGTTGGGTTTACTCCAAGACACACCTAGTTTGAACAAGCACAAGCTAAAACAAAACAATTAAAACTGCAGACCAAATCCACCAAAGCACTTACCCCAGATACAGAAATCCTACAGCTTAGCATATCCTCAAGCGCTTTGCTAGACAGGATTTAAAGTTAAACACTTATTTTGATGAACTGGGACTTAAGTAATCACAGGCAAAGAAGCATCCTCCAGAGTGACATCTGGTAATTGTTACTCTACCAGAAGATATTTTACCATGGACAGTGATATTTTATTGCAAGTACAGGGAAAAGCTCTGAACTTTCAGTAGCGAATACACCTATAAAAGGTACAAAATATCACATCTTTTTGCTCCAAACCAAGTGGGCATAAGGCGACTCCGTAGTCCATTGCTTCAGGATGGGCAAAAATCCTCATCCAAGTGGGAGCTCCAGCTTCAATAAAAAGTAAAGTAATATTAAAAATCAAGGTCCAGAACCCCAAATTTTTTTCCAAAATCAAGTCACTGACCAGAACCATAAAAGGAAATCAATCCATGCATGGTTAATAAGAGCACATTCAAATAACAAGAAAGAACTGTCTTTCTAAACACTTGGAATTTTTCTGATGCCACTTATGATCAAGAGTGAGAATTTCAGACTGCGCTGTGCCATTAGCATTGTAGGCAGAACACCCTCCCCATTGATGTCTATTGAAAACCTTACTTCAAAATAATTAAAGGCTCAAAACAATCATCTAAAAACACAAAGCAGTCTTAGAACTCTATCCCTTGGGAAGGGACATTTTATGAATTCATGGGAGAAGTAATAATTCCAGAGAGTCCGACTTTTATTTCACAGCTAAAACCTAAATCCCCAGTGATGGTACTAAGCGTCAGAGAGCAAAGGAAGCCAGGCTGGCCTGAACAAGGGTGGGACTGCTCACACTCCCTGTAAACAGAGGATGCACAAATAATAGACAGCGTTACGTAAAACCAGAGGAGTGTCAGATCATCGTGTCATTTGTATTTTTATCTGGTTTGCTTCCATTTTTTTTTCTCAAACAAGTATTATCTATCAAGACCAGGAAAGTATGGTTTTCCTTTTATTGTGTCCATCTAATAATGTTGTTCTTCACATGCATGGCAAAATCAGGACCAAGACTGAGTCGGGGGGGGGGTCTAACTTGGAGTCTCCCTGTCCTGACCGACCTGGGTCACATAGCCCCTTGTTTGTGCTGTCTCCACTGCTCACCTGCTGCCACCGCACCAGGACAGCCACGGTGGGAGCTGGGGCAGCTCCCCCAGATAAATGCTCCTGTGGCCAGGACACGGGTCTGCACGCTAAGAGCAACAGAGAAGGAGTTCAATGGATCTGGGGGGATTGATTTTTTCCTCCAGCAGTTATAAAGTGGCAACTCTGGGAACACCACGGAGAACATGCAAGGCTGCACACCCTGCTCGGGAGCACGTGCACCCCTCACTCCTCAAAGTGAGCGACAGAGGAAGACAATGCTACTGCAATCTGGGTGTTTGGTGGAGAATATAAGGACAATTCACTACTAGGCAAACTTCCTGATAGACTTATTTAGAGACACATCTGTATGCCTTTCCAGGCTGCGTCTGAACCAGCCCGTTCATGACAGAGCTCTGTATCTGGGCTTCAGAGCAGCAAACAAACAGAGCCCTGTCCTCACCTCGCAAAGAGAGATGCAGAGCAAATGAGGGAGGGAGGTGCAGGCTGAGCATTATTAATAACAAAACAATTTTCTCAGGAAAGGGTAGGATCACTGCCTGAATGTTCAAGAGAGCATTAATTGTTTGGTTTGTACGTGACTGGCAAAAGCTGGGTGTCAATATATAACATAATGATGACAATTTCACTTTAACTGGCATTTATTCCTGAACTGCTGTTCTTCAGGATTACCATTGTAATAAGCACTGAACAAAGCAAAACAAAACAAAACAAAACAAAATAAAACAAAACAAAAAAAAGAAGAAAAGGAGGAGGAGAAGTAGTATCTTTGTCTTATTATGACATACGTGACTTGGACATACGCTGAGATGAAAAAGGAAAAGGCCTCATCTATAAATGTATGCCAAGGTTACAGAATAATGGGAAAACGTGGTCTAGCAGGAAAATCTTAAGCAAAAGTGTGCTAACTGCAGAAGGGTTAACACTGGTAACATACTGTGGCAGAAGATTAAAAAAAAGGTTGAGGTTTACTTTAAATTAACCCTTTCCAGTCCATACGCCACTAAGCAGGTACCAACCTAGAAAAATAGTCCACCTAGCAGTAGCGGCCCTTTGAAATTAAAAAGAGGAAAAAAAAATAATTTCTTTTGTTCAAGTCAGGGCAGCCACAAAAGTCCCAAATCTGTTGGAGATGTCCGAGTGCAGGGACCTCCACGTCGGCACCGCAGTCCGGCCCTTCGCCTCGCCCACGTCGTCCGTGCAGTGGACCGAGAGGCACTGCAAGTGGCTGCCAGTCTGCGCCGCCGCCGAGGTCTTGCTCGGGGGAAGGTCGTGGGCTGGAAAGGGTTCACAGAGAGAGTGTTATGAGAACCGTGCAGTGCACCTGCGCCAGCAGCATGCGGGGCGCCGGCGGCCGCGAGTTTGGGCAGGGACAGCCCCGGCAGGGGGACCCGTGCCCGCTTCACCCAGCGCCTGTGCCCCGTCCTCGCCCGCGCTGCTGCATCCCACCCGTCTCTCCTCACCCGAGCTGTTCAACTCTGCATGTGCTGGCTTTAAGTCAAGCCGTCAACACGGCTGAACGTTGTGGATTTACACGCAATTAGCTATGCATGTTCTGGACTACAGCATTACAGGGAGTCCTTACCCCTGTGCACCGTCTGTTGGCTGAGAGCAACACCGAAGCCTCTCTAAGCAGAAACCAGCCCCGAGCCTCCCTGTATCCCCTGTCATTCTCCTCGTCATCTCATACGGGTACAGGCTTCCCTACTTACCTGTTTTAATGCAATACTGCGACAACATTTCTCTGATAATTTATATGTTTTGAGATTTTTGTATGATTTTTCAGCCCCTGTTAGTTTCTGTTAACCACAGAAAACGAAAAGATTAACTAAAGCACCCCTAACAATGTTCCAGGCCTTTTTCCTCTGTGCTTTACAATTAATATGAAAAGTAGCTAAAATGCTGCTTACAAAGTATATAACCACGTACTCACAACTTGCTCTGGCTGTTACCCATTAATTTTCCTTGCTTTCCTTCTTAACACGTTCAGTAATCTCTGTGGTAAAAACGTTTTTGTCATCTTCAAAGTCTGCCTCCATGTGCCTTCCCCCCTCCCATGCCCACTGTGGCCACGGATATCTTTCCTTCATCACCTTCTTCCTCCCTGACATCAATCAATTCTTTAGATTTCCTCCATTGCTCTTAGTCAAATCACAAAACAAAAAACACCAAATTCAGGCCTCACCTTGTAAATTCTCACATTTCCTTAATGACCCTTCTACAGGGTCCTTCTTAAAGGCTTTCTGAGGTGGAAAAGCAGTGGCTCGTAGCTGCTGTGGCTCCTGCTGGCCAGCCAGTGGCACAGAAGAGGCTGCTTGCTGCTCCCCTCCCTCCAGGACAAGCCAGCCTGATAACAAAAGAAAATCCTCTCAAAGATAACGCATCCCCCAGGAGCGCCACTGCTGCGGACAGGGAGGAGGCTCCAGCCAGCGTAGACAGCCCTCTCCAGCCCCGGCAAGGAGGACTTTTAGTGGGATCAAAAACTGCAAGTAAATAGAGTAACAGCTTGAGTCGAGGCAAGAAGCTACATCTTGACAGGCAGCCTGCATTTCCTCTCTTTCACCGTTTCATTCATATTCACCCAGAGCACAAAGAGCTAACAGCAGCAAGAGCAAGGGCAGGCTACTGCATTTTTTTTCTGATAGACTCAGAGCATCTTGCATGGGTGAGGCTGATGCTGGAACATGCCACATTTACCAAAAAATAGCTGTGAATTTAACCTCGGTAAGATTTTATTTCATGTTGTCCTTCCAGTGTTCCACAGACCTAAGCAGTCTATAGCTTTACTGCACCTCATGGGGCAGCTCGTGTTTGTTTCACTTAGATATCAAACAGGAACCAAACATCTCTGTTACTCAGTTATAGTGATATTACATTTATCCTTAAAAAATAACCTTAAACCAGTCTAGAAGTCCCTGCTTTAAAATAGAAAATGCTTTAAATACTTGATTATAGGATATCTGAGATGTTCTTATTGAAAACAGTATCATAACACCATACTGAGAAATGAATTGTAGAGCTATGTTACACACCTCGGCCTAGCACAGTGTCATTTTGGTTTCAATTTCTGTAGATTTACTCACTTACTGCTGTAATGAAAATCAGCAGGACATAGATGTTTTCTAAACCCCAAAATGGATTACGGTGTCTTCTAATTTGCTTTGGATTTTTTACTCAGTTTTGATAAATATACAATACCAACTAGCAGAGACGAAGCACAAGCAGTTCTCCATGTAATAATCATTGCATGATTTCAATGACTGCCTTAGCATAGCACATCCTTTCTTTGCCTAAAGGCTCATAACTTTTACTCTTCTTTCCTGCTACTCACAGCCTCCTCACATCCCAGACTTCCTCCCTTCGATGTACAGTCTGTTGCTGCCTCTCTGAAGAATAACAAGCATTCCTACCTCCCCGGGGGAGTACTTCAACCTTGGCCCTTCACACACCACTGACACGTCTGTGCTGTGGAGCTGGTGCACTTGCAGCATCCTGCAGGCACGGTGGAGAGCAGGGAGCAACGCAACATGGGCTAATCCACCGATACGTGATTAACGTATTAATGCATAAGTAGAGATGAGCAAATCCCAAGCTGTGATTATCATGGCACTTCGGGGAAACCAGAGAAAATAAAAACAACAAACACATAAACAAACAATAACCCTAAGTAAATATTGCAAAGAACTGAGAAAGAGAAATGTTTTTCTCATTCGTATTTGTTCAGGTCCATTGCAATGTACAGTACCCATTATTTTTTTATTCTTAGGTCTCCCTGAATGTACAGGACATGCTGGTTTCAGTACAGGAAAAGCCAGTGCCTTGAGATTAGTCTTTGTGACAGCAGCTTTCTTCCTCTGCTGCAGAAAAAGAGGAAAGAGTGCTACTTGTGAACTGCTGTTGCAAGAGGCCTGAGGATATCTGTGGTGTTTAGCAAGAAGCACTTACTGTAGGATTTCAAGAGACCAGCCTTTCAGCTGGGAACACAGGGACACCGACAGAAGCAGCAGAGAAAGCACGTTCCCAGACCAAGACCAGCGCCAGGCTGCGCATGTCCAGGCACTCTGCTGAGACAGGTCTGGAGCTCCACCGTGCTTTGCTGGTACGAGCAGCAATGTCTGCATCCATCACTCAGACACCAGTGACACACAGAGAGCACCAGGTCCTCAGCCAATAATTAAGTGAGGAAGTTCTTACACCAGAAGTATCTAAAAAATAAAAAAGATACTTCTATTTACTTGTAAATTATGTTTAAAATACTTTCTGTGGATAAAATCCATAAGCAAACTAATGATAAAGGAATCAATGCAAAATGCATCCCACAGTGACGAACAGGATTCACCATCCTTTGAGGAACATCCACATATGAGGTGAGCAGGACCCTAACTTGTGAAGTTAGGTATCATGTGGACAGTGACAACCAGTGCTAACTCAATACCATTATGTAAGGGCTCAGGTTGTCTTGGCCTTTCATTAAGAGTGCAAAAAATGATGCATTGAAATCCAAAACAAAAAGGAAGAGAATGAGGGCTTGCAGTTAGTCTTAAAGTGGCATTAGCTTTCTCAAAGCCAATCTAGTGGAAAATACCCAGTGCAAATTAATTTTTTCAAACATATTTCTGACTTGGCAAAACTACAATGCTTTTCTGAAGGAACCTTTTGTATCAAAAAATGAAAGTTGCTCTGATCCACCTGATGAGAATCATGTTCTTAAGCACAAGATATCACTTGATGCTTGTTTTGGACAAGCAGTAACAACAGTAATATTCTCCCAGCAGATCTGTTTCACCAGCCTTCCTTGCTGTTTCTCCGCCCTATTCAAACCAACAATGTCACAGCTCCCGCTTTATGTGGTGCACACAGTCCTGAGGGGTATTGTGAGTAGAGACTGATGGGACTCAGCAGGTTAAAATTAGTCAGATAATGCAAGATGGTGTCATCACTTCATTGCCTCGCAGTTGCCAAGTTTCAGATAAATCACTGTCAGTCATGAAGTACACCTAATTGAAAGCAAGGATTTTTTGTACAAATTACGTTTAAACATAATTTGCACAACTGCCTCTTTTAGCAACTACCACAAGAAAGTTGGAAGTGTTATTTGTATGAGCAATACCCTTGTAGGAAGAACCCTCTCCATACTGAAGACCTAGAGACAGTCTAGGTGGAGACTTCTTTGAAACTGAAGGATGTGACATGACATAAGGCAGGACAGATGCTATAAAACTACCCAGTTTGCAGGACTGTGTGTGCCACTTGAAAACAGTTAATTTTGCTGTCAAATGTTGAAGTAGAGATCAGAGTTAAAACATCGTACAACATGTTCATATGGAAGACATGAAACCAAAAGCACTAGTGTCCGAAGATCAAAAAGAGTCTGGAAATGGCTCAAGCACCACATGAATTCTTCACCTTCACCTTCACCACTCGCCTTCATGAATTAATTATTTTTTCCCCATTTCTTGCCTATTTTGAATCCTCTGTCTATAGTCATTCTCTTCTAGAGCATTCCTCTACATGCTCTGGTGGTGGGCACGTCCTTCAGTCCAAGGGTGACACCCATCTGCACAGCAAAGCCAAGCAAGCTGCCCTCAGCTACAGCGACGTTTCTCTGATGCTGCCATTTGCCCTTCCCTCGGGTGGTCGCTTATTGTCACACAGAGCAAGCGAGAAAAGCTACGGTCAGTCTGAAAGCGACCTAAAAGTGACCTAAAAGCCAGTTGCTGCAAGTATTGAGCTTAAATCCCTAGCACTGGAAACTATTCCTTCCTTTTATCTTGATCATAACACTCCATCCTACCCATTATCCTGTACGTAGCAACAGCCCATACTCTGTATTTCAGAAGATAAAAACTAGAAAAAAACACACACACACAACTATGTATCCCAGCCAACTGTGCAAAATTGCTCACAGCAGAGAAAATTCCTGCAATAATCACTGAATGCCCTGGAAGTTAGCATGAGGTTTGATTAATATTATTAGCTCAGCTTGTGCACAGGCATTTCCAAGAGCCAGCCACAACATCTGGAAGATTTGGGTGATTATGTCAAAAAAAATATTTACAGACATTCATTTGAACACTGAAGTGAATTAACTCTGGTCATTTTCACACCCCTCACACCCCTGTGTTCTTCCAAGATTCTAGCAAATTTATTTGTTACACTACAAACTGTAGGTTCTAGGTAAATATCTCAAGAGTATTCTCTGAATAGTTTTGTAGCATTCGTCAGTTACAGCAACACATAAAACCAAATGTAAGAATTACATTTACATCCAGCTAGG